TAAATAATGCCTCCAATTCTGTTTTTAAAAGATTTCCTCGCTTTCCTTTTTTTGTTTTATTTTTACTTTATTTTTACTTTATAAAACAGTTAAAGGAAAGGGAGTTTGCTCATTTGGTAGTAACTAACAGAGATACGAATTAGAGATGCCTCAGACTGAGGTTTATCTCCGGGTTAATAAATCTCTCAACAACTGTGAGGAAACTAAGTTCAGCCACTATCTCTTCTGTTTATTTCCATATTAATCAGTTTATTTCCATATTAATCAAGGCATCAGTTTCTGTCCTCTCCGCCTAGTAGGGAAAGTGGGCAGTCAGTTTCTTGCATCTGAGAAAGCCGCCGCCGCCCGCCGTTTTGTGTTGCTCCATCTGCCCTAGAAAACCAGTGCCTTCCAAGGCTTCTGACCCGGCTTGTTTTTATGCAACTGACGCCAGCTCCCATCTTCACCTCTGTCACAACTCACAGTGGCTGAAAACGTAGAAAAAAAAAAAATAGGAAATGTTCCGCTACTGAAGCCCAAGAAAGTTAAGGGAACCCCCGCCCCCCCAAAAAAATAGCTTCAAGATTTTGCAGGCTCCCATTGCTGGTTCAAAAGATGGTTGTGTTCCCTGTCCTTTGCTGCTGGAGACACCCAGAGGAGGAAAAGTCGTTACAAAATGTGCGAACTCGGAGGATCTCTATTTCCCTGGAATCAGGGATCTGACAGGAGTGCGTTTTCAGCGCCCAGCCCTAAGCACACCAAGGCAGGATCAGATTTACGGAGTTTTCCAGATCTGAGGGAGAAGACAGGTGATTTCAGGCCTTAGCTTCTGAACAGGATATTTAACTGTTTTCGAGGTCTCAGACTGGCAGGGAGACCATGTTTCACCGGACATGACAGAAGCCTGAAAGTTTAGAGAGAAGTTCTCCAAGGCTGCCTCGCGGATTCTTTCCCACAGCCAGCTCTGAGTTCTTGTGTCGCTGGGACTCGAGAAATCTGACCACTCTATTTCCACACCAAGGACACCACAGCAAAGGCAAGGATCCACTCACCCTTCCCTGTGCCCTTCCTAAGGTCACGACCCTAGCAGATCCAGGACCCCTAGTGGCCTACTTCTGGAGAGCCTCAAACCTTGAACCAAAATCTGGTGACCAGAACAAGGTCCCAGGTTGGAAGCAGTTGGTTTGTAGGAAGGGGCCCCGCAGAAGGAGCGGTGGCCGGGATCCACTACTGAGAAGGAAGGCTGATTCTCCGTGAGATCCCCAGTGAAGAAAGCACACGGGCCTGAGATCACCTGGGCAGGTCCTTTCCGGATATCCTCGGCAAGATTTACAAACCCTTGAGTGTCAGCAGGGGCCTGAGTGTAGGAGAAAAGAGCGCCCACCCCTTTCCCGGTGGAATGTGCAAACCCTGTGGGGGTGTGTGCTCGCTCCCCGTTTCCTTAAACGCTTAAGGGTTGCCAGGTTCTCTGAAGGGGTGGGGTCGTCCTCACCGGAGGAGGTACTCTTCTCTCCAGAGTATCTTAGCATCGATCGGAGCCCCACCTGCCTGTGGGGTCAGGTGTGGACACGCGAGCCTGGAGTAGGAGTATCCAGACTCAACCCCGGGGCGTTTGAGAAGCTGGATCTGGATCTGCTCCTGTGACGGAAGAAGCTCCTGGAGCTAGGGGCCACGAACCGGCAGATGAGCAGTCCGCCCGCGGGAATCCACCTGCACCCGCCAGAACCCACCCCTCTCGGGGATCCCTTGCACTCCCGAGGCCTCAGTGTCCGGGAGAAGGTCCCACAGAAAATGCACCCTCAGAGACAAAGCCGCTCCTCATCTAGGAGCTTGCCAGAGCTGGGCACCAAGTCTGCGGGCTGGGGAGACAAGGGATGCTCCTCAGGCCCCAAGCACTCTTAGGGGCTCACAGAAGAGGTGAAGCCCCCACCAAGGGCCCCTCCTTGAACGCAGGTCTTCCAGAGGACACCCCCAGAACCTTCCGTGGGTGCTCTCTCTCCCTGTTTACCCCTTTCCTCCTCTCCTTCATTCTTTCCACTCTTTCCCTCTCCCTGGCTCTGCATCTTTCTATTCTCCTTCCCCCTCCACCTAGTAAGATCCCAGCAAGATGCCAAGTCTAGGACCACCGGGGGGCCTGGACCAGATGCTTTCTCGTCGCATTTTCCTTTCCTGGGGGGAGGTAGCCATCTAGGGGACTTAAGGCAAGGAAAGAGGGAGGCAAGAGGGGAGGGCTGTTCTAAGCAAGGCACTGGCTCTCCGTGCCTTGAGAGGCCCCCACGAGGCAAGGCGGAACTTCTGTGGGGGAGTCCTTCGGATAATGGAAACTAGCCTGTTCCGCCCCCCCCCCAGGCCAGTTCGGGTACCCACTAGCGGCAGAGATGAGGAGACAAGTGTAGCTGGACGGCCTCGGAGCTTCCAGCTCAGCGTGAAAGCCAGGCTTTAGGGGCAACTGGGGCGGATGTGAAGAGGAGTTCACCCGGAGTCGCTGCGTAGGACCTGGAAGGCATAGAAATATCTCTGGGTCTCAGCTAGTGTTCCCAGGACCCACTGCCTGTGGAGAGAAGGCTTTGCATTGTGTTGGGGGTGGCACTTAACCGGACCCAGGGGAGGGGGCAATTTGAGGCGACACGGGGCTTCCAGTCCTTGGAGCTCAGCTGGAAAACCTTGTCCTTCACCAGCACAGGCTGCCCTTTTACGGGAGATAAGTCCAAGGCCTGCAAGTTGAGGAGGGGTGGGGGGTGGGGAAGCGGGGAGAGTGAGTCTCCAGAGAACAAAGATCAGGTCCAGGCCCCATACGAAAGTCGACTGCACTTTCTCTGTCTTTGAGGGGACTTTCTCTTGAAGTTCACAGTCAGTGGCGGTTTCTAAGGTGGATTGGATTCCCCCTTTCAGGGCAAAGCAATTTCGAATCGTGAGTGGAAGCATCCTCATTATGTGTCTAGACTGAATTTAAAAGTACTTTAAACTTGTGAACGTCTGAAGAAGTTGTGTGATTAAAATAGCTCTCTGTGCAAGAACTATCTACTTGCACCCTAGTGTCGTGGTGTGGGTAATTTGAGAATTTAACAGGAAAAAAAAATTGCAAGCAAAGGTCAGCCTGGACACTCACACCCAGGGGATGAGTTAGACACCACACACACCCAACTCCACCCAACTGATTACTGGTGATATTCCCCCCCCCTTTTCAATAAATCCAGAAACCTGACTCCCACATGGCCTTTCTCTCTGTTCCTGCCCTGTTTTAAGAAAGCCATGTCCCCTGGGCTGCTGAAGAAAGTTTTTAGGGCCAGGAAAGAGCTTGGAATGTTTATAAGATCTCCCCTATGTTGGTTGGGAGAATTGTCTATTTTCTATTCCAGTGAACATCTGAAAGTAGGTAAAGAGTCCTGCGTTTCAGATTCCTTTTGCTTCAGGTCTCCCAAGAGAGCGGGCCTTACAGCCCATTAACTGGATCACTGAAGGCAACTCGGGAAGCTCAGGGAAAAAGCCAGCACACACACACACACACACACACACACACACACACACACACACACACACACACACTTGTGCGAATACAGCTTGGCTGTATTGCTCTCTACCCTGTGCTTAAGTCTGGATGCCAGGCATGAGGTCCAGCCTGAGCCAGATGGGAGGCTAGGGGATCTTCCCCGGACCGGGACTTGTGGAAACAGGACTCTAAAGAGCCAAGAGGCACGGAGTGAGTCGCTTTCCTGATTGATGAAACCGTCCCTCCCCTCCCCTTTTGGAATAATAAACTCCTGGAAAGGCTGGAGGGCTGCCTTGTGTTGGTTTCCAATAAATCCTCAACAGGCTCTTTCCTCACTCAGAGAAATGAATCACACTTGGGAAACAGACGATTATTCTTCCATTTGTCTGAGGATAAGCAGAGGAAAAAGCTGCCTCCCTTGTGGACTCCACTGGGGTGCTCCTCCCTAACTAAGGCTTGTGTGGTAGGTGGAGACAGGGATAGAGCAGGAGACAGAGGTGACTCACTGGAGATTTAGGCAGATATTCCAGACCTAGCCAGGGGAGGGAAAGAACTTTCTAAATTCACTCTTCTGCCTGGATGCTGGAAAGAGACCCAGGGCCTTGCTGCCTGGGAGGTGGTATTACATCTTCTAACACAAAGGCCAATTCTGGGTTTGCTTTTCTGGGAGAAGCAGAGAGCCCCGGGCCCACACTGCAGTTGCCTATCACCGGAGCTCAGTTTCTTGTCTTCTTTCAACAAAACCTCAGGTCCCTGCTGGCCTGCTCTTGTTTATTCAAAACGAATGTGGGGTGTTTCCACTGAGGACATGGGAGGTGAGAGTAAACAGCAAAGTGGAAGTGATGGAAATGACCCTTCGTTGTAACAGCCCATGCTTTAACTAGAGGGGCCTTAGTACGCTTGGCTAATCACGACAGCAATCTTCTATGGAAGAGAAAACAAGGAAGAATTCTTCCTAAGAATCACTGTAATCCAAGACCTGGCCATTCATTTGCCTCCATCTACAGCCCAGTTACAAAGCAGAGGAATTTTGCTTTCTTTTCCTGGCAGGCAGGCCGGGTGACTTCATTTGTTAACTTTTAAAACATATTGGATTGCCACACATGGAATACAAAGACCACAAAGGTCATTTTAAAGCAAGAAGAACTTAGCTCACTGGTGGTTCCTTCTTGCCTGTTGGCAACAACAGTCTTCACGGCCGCCAGTCTGCATCTCATGCCTTGCTGCTTTGAGCTTCTAGAGTCTATTTTTACCTTAATTCTTGAGTCTATGAGGATCTAATTGCTACAGAGGAATGAGGAGCGGAAATTGGAACGGAGGACATATACAGACAATGCCCTATTCGAAGGACAGTTAGGTCCAATCATTAGCACCAAAATTTATCTATTCTCTTTACTTGTAAATGGCCAGGAAAAAAAAAAAAAAACTGCACTCCAAATCCCTCATCCACACCCAGACACACCTTACCAGGCCCACATATTTCTCATTCCACAACTGCTATTGATTACAACTTTAGACAAAGGCAAAAACTGGATTTAAAGATTCTTTTTTATTTGAAATCTCATCCAGAAACACTGGTTATTAATAAATATATCATAGTTATCAAGAATATATAAAAAATAAAGACAGGTATTGTCTTTGAAGCCCTAACAAAATATTTCAAGCAAATGCTCAGGAAAATAAAAATGGCAGCCCGCCCTCCCCCCCCAAACACAGGAAGTTTTCAAAGCTGAAGGATCACAGACAGAGCCAACCCCGCATGCAGAATAATTTGGCAAGGGGGTGGGGTGAGCTACTGGAGGGGGGACCAGTTTTGTAGCCTCTGGTCCCTTGGAACAGCCCTAAGGTTGTAATGAAACTTGAAGGACGAGAGACAGCCTTGGGCTTGGGGAAAGAATTGCCATGTGCACTGAGCGTGAATCTTTGCACTCTGGCCCCCCTTTTTCATTTCCTACAACCACAGACAGATATATGGAGTACTTTGGAGAATTCACTAATAAATCCTTGTTACAAGGAAAATGGCCTGCACAACATGTTTAGACAAGATTCATTTAGAAGCGCGCATGCATTCTTTTGACCTATACTGCGTGGAAAAGAAAGCCCACATAGGAGGTTCATGCCCTGGACAGAAGCTGAGATTCAAAACTTGGATTCTGACTCTCTCTCTCTCTCTCTCTCTCTCTCTCTCTCTCTCTCTCTCTCTCTCTCTCGTTCTCGTCTCTAGAAAAAAACTATAAGGACAGAGACAATCATAACTGCATCTATCTCGATGAAATATTTACATTTGCGTTGCACAAAAGAGATGGCCATTTTTCCTCCAAGATCAGAACACACCCAGAGAAAGCCAACTCCAAGTTCCTTCTCAAGTTTTTAACTCCACCGGTCCCGTTTTTAAACAACAAATGCGGTTTTGACAAGAGCATATGGCAGTAAGAAATACTGGCGCTGCATGAGGAAGAGAAGCATGCATGCAAAACACGACGTCGGGGTCCAGTCCCCATTCGCTAACACCTAGACATCCCAGTTTGGTTTTGGTACGCCCCGCTGGGGTGGGTCATAGGATGTGGATCTCTTGGGCCGCAGGCGAGGCCCCGGAACTGTGCGCCCACCCTCCTGCCGGCTAAGCAGTCTCCCCTCCCCTCCTGGCCCCTGCACCGCGACCCCTGCCTCAGTTCTCCCTTCTTCCTCCCGGCCCGGGCAGGCCCGCGGCTCACTTGAGCAAGTCCTTGGACTCGGCGGACAGCCGGGCCATGTTGGCCGTGGAGAGGGCGGACAGGTGCGGCGGCGGTGGCATCTGGCAGATGGTGCAGGGGCAGGGCAGCCCCGCCCAGTGCTGGAAGCCACTGCCCAGCTGCAGCGCGGGCGGCGTGGAGGGCGCCTTGAGCAGCGAGTGGGGAGGTCGGATGGTGCCAATGGCAGGCAGGGAGGCCGCGGACAGCGGGGACGTGGCGTTGCTGGACGAGAGCGCACCGCCCAGGATGGGGTGCACCGGATGCACGGCGTTCGCTGCGTGCGCCGGGTGGCCGGCCGAGTGCCCCACAGTCCCACAGTGGAAGGCCGAGTGGTGACCCCCGTAGATCTCGCCTACCAACCTCTTCATCTCCTCCAGGGAGCTGGTGAGCATGAGGATGTAGTTTCTGGCTAGCAGCAGAGTGGCAATCTTGGAGAGTTTGCGCACGGAGGGCCCGTGCGCATAGGGCATGACCTCTCGCAGGCCGTCCATGGCGAGGTTCAGGTCGTGCATCCTCTTGCGCTCGCGCCCGTTGATCTTCAGGCGCAACTGCTGAAGATCCTGCTCCGACAGCTGCTTCTTGATTTTGTACTTGCTGCTTTCTCCGGCCGCCTTGGCGCCGGCTCGCGAGAGGCTTTCCCCAGGCATCTTCTGCACCATGTCGCCTTGGGTGGATGAGACCGAGTTGAGACGACTCTCCTGGTGGTGGTGATGGTGGCGGTGGTGGTGGTCTCTTAGGTACATCTCATCCATGTCCGGAGATGACGCTCTGCTGGAGACAGAGCTCGAATCAGAATTCATTTTATTACGGGAGATGCGGCCTTATGGTTGAGGAGGTTTTAGGCGGGAAATTAAAGAGAATCTTGAATTAAAAAAAATAATAATAATCAGAAGGTCCAGCAACCCACTTCTCAGTTGTAAGACGGGAGAAGAACAGCCGGGGCTCTGTCTTGCCCCGCCTCTCTCCCTCCCGGCTCTCCTTGCTATCCCTCTGTCTCCGGTTTAGCTGTTTCCTGCACTGTTTGTTGGTGTGTGCCCGAACTAACCTCTTGCTGTAAAAGAGGGGCTTTTATAGCGCTGCAGCGGAGAAAAGAGACAAAAGGAGCCCTCCTATCTATCCTGGGCTGGTTAAGATGACGTGCCATCCTTCAGGGCGGTGCGCTTTGCTGTCCCATTTAGCAAGGATTCCTATTCATATTCATTGCGGGGCCGCCCTGGGACACCTCTGCTTAGAACCGCGAGGAGCCCCCAGGCACAAAACCTTTTGATTGACACACTCACCGCTGCAGCTCGGGACTGCTTGTTTTTGTTGTTGTTGTTGTTTCGTTTTGCTTTCTTTCTTTCTTTCTTTTTCTTTTTTTTAAAAAAAACTTTCTTCTATGCCACCTCCCTGACTCCATTTTCTCTAACCAAATCCTGCACTTAAAATGAAGGACAGGAACAGAAGTTGGCCAGAAGATTGGCCTAGGGTTTTTTTGTTTGCTTGTTTGTTTTGCTGTTTTGTTTTGTTTTTTAATTTGAAGAGTGGACTTGAGTTGTTCCCTAGTTTAGGGAAATGTGGGCAAAAACAGGTCTCAATAGAAAGAGGCGAGGGACAGGGAGGGCAAGGCAGAGCAGGTTCAGTCAGGGGGACCAGAACTGGGGGCTTCACTTTTTCCTCCGTTGGTGCTTTCCCCCCAAACACCAACAGTCAGTTAATTTTGTTTATCTGGCCTTTCCGGTGTGATTTCAAAGACATGTGTCTATTTGGTTTTGTTTTTTTTTTTGCCCCTGATACTACTGTGAGGGAGAAATCTATCACTTTCTATTTCTCCTTTTACATTAAAAAAAAAAACTAATTGAAAGAATTTCTGTTTTGTACATTTAAAAAAAAAAACTTCTTAGCTATGGAATGAAGGGAGGAGGAACAAATTTCCCAATGTTGCATGAAAATCAAGTGAGGAAGAAAACCTAGGAAGGAAAGGGAGTGAAGAGAAACGGGGGAAGTTAGAGATTGGATCGATTCTCAAAACAAATCTGGAGGGTTCAAGCTTCCTGGATCCTGCTGCTTGCACAGACTCTGTTGGGGTAACCAGTGAGCAGTTCTTGCCTTAAGGTCCATTGTGTGTGTGTGTGTGTGTGTGTGTGTGTGTGTGTGTGTGTGTGTGTCTTGGGGTGGGGTGAGGGCGGTCTTTGGCCCCAGGGCTAAGGCTGAGAGCATCCAGGGTTCCCAGCACCAGACCACCTGGAGCCACCCCACAACTGGGGACTGGGGGTGAACGGAGCAAGATTTGAGGGTAAAATAAAAAGTGACCGCTTGTGTGTGTGTGTGTGTGTGTGTGTGTGTGTGTGTGTGTGTGTGTGTTTATTGTGTACACAGGACCTGAAGATCCGCTTGTGTGCATGCTTGGTACACAGCGGTGGCTTCTGAGGATAAACAGGAGACTTGGAGTTTGAGTGAGCACATAAATGGACTCAGCTCTCCTCCACCCCGTTCCTCTTTGCTGTTTTTGACTATCAGAATTGCTCTGTAGTGCAAGAGGCAGGAATACAGAAATCTCTAAAAAGAAAGGAGTCTTGGGCAGTGGTGGCCCCTAGGAGCAGCTGGGCACTCAGCACTCCCGGGTTTAGACGTGGCAGGAACAAAAGCTAGGTTAAGGCAGCGTCTGTAGAAAGTGAGAGACTGATTTCAACACTGGAACCTCGGGCAGACGCGGCTTGCAGACATGGCTTGCTTTGCAGTCACTGGGAAAACCAGAAAGAAGAGGCTTCATTTCCTACAAACACAAGCCAGGCAGTCAGCAGGGGGTACCCCCAGATCTGGAGTTTGCACACCCAGGGAGCAGGCAATCAGCAGGGGGTACCCCCAGATCTGGAGTTTGCACACCCAGGGAGGTTTGTGCACACTGACACACAGTCGTCCTCTGCGGAGAGACTCTCCCTAGCTCTCTACCAGCGGGATGCAGACGAAGGAGTGAAGGTTTTTCCCACACTGACCTGGTTTCTTTCCTGTAAAAGAAACAAAATGGTCAACAGTCCCTCATCACGGGCAGGGTTCGAATGCCCTGGAAGACTGGACCCAAGAGTCTTCCATCGCTCACACCTCCGTGGAAGAAAAGTTCCTTAAAAGGAAGAATCCAAGAGCTTTCATGTAGGGTGGAAAGATAAAGGTCCCAAAGCATTTCTAATATCTGAGAGATAGGGAACTCTAAGTCTCCAGACTGGTCCGCTTTGGCTAAGAAGATACTGACACCCCACGTGCGGTTTACGAGTAAAGTGGTCGCCCCACAGCATGATTCCAGGTGGTAGACCCAAGCTCGCTCGCTCGTGGATGTGGCGCAGACCGGATGGAAGACTTGCTGCTCAGCGGCAGATCAAGGAGCGGAGACGGGGGGCGAGGAGCGATCCTGGAAGAAAAGCGATTTCCAAGCCCGAGTACACCCTGTCTGTGTACTTCCATCCTAACTTTTGAGTATTTGCATCTCGTTCTCAGGCCTAAAGCGAAAAACGCTGCGCCGGGAGGTTTTCCGTTTCGAAGTAGCAAAGTCTAGTAAGGTTACAAGAGGCTTGAATGAAGGTGTAGAAAATAGTCGTGCAGATGTAAAGCGCATTAACTTTTTAAACGTTTCAATTGTATCAGTAGACAATGGAAATAAAGTAAGTAGTGTCCTCGTGTTAGTCAAGAAGGTCAGGGAATGAAATAGGGGAAGAACCAATAACTTTCCCGATCGATCGGAAAGACCAGAACCTGGTTCCGGGAATCCCGACCAAAAACAAGGACCTTGCAGGAAAGGACACTTCCCGGGGGCGACTGCGCTGGGGCCAGAGAGGGCCCGGGTGGACGTTGTCGGAACAGACAACCCACCCTCCCCCCACCCAGGGCCCCAGGATATTTAGCCTCCATGACCCCTAGGTGCCTCAACTGAAGCTGCGGGTGGGGGTGGGAATCTCAGGTGTTTTGCTCGAGGCTTAATGCCAGATGCATGCAACGCCTTGTGCCTCTTGGCTTTCCGTCCCTGCTGGGCTCTGTGGTCCCCAAGGCAGCGCCAAGGGAAAGTGGGGTGGTCCAAGGTCTAGTGCCCCACCCAGATAAACACTTTTGGTGAGGGCTTTTAGGCTAAGTCCCAGGCTATCCAAGTTGGCTCGTTCCCCCTTTTTTTTGAAAACCTTCTTTCTGTGAGGTTAGCGGCTAGGAGAGGATGCCTGACTAAAGAGGTCACCACTTTGCTTGCCATAAAATGGACCAATAGTCTCTTGGGTCCAAAAGTGGAGGCTCTCCTTGCGCCTGGTCTCATCGGGTTATTCTAGGTCTTGAGAGTTCACGAGCGTTCGCCCGCTCAAGCCCTGTGCTAAATCAAGTCCTCAATACCGAAGCCAGTTCGGACACTCAAGATTTCAGCGTTGCCGGCCGTTGCCCACTAGGGCTGTGCCTAAGGAGACACTAAGAGAGACTCTGTTGGGCTGAGGCTACAGCAGCCTAAAAGAGCCTCAGCCACAGAAGCCTGGGGACCTACGCGGTGACCTTGGCCCTGGCCATGGGCGGATTCAGAGGGCTAGAGTAGGCAGAGGAGGTGGTAACCCAATGGGAGCCAGCTCTCTAGGGCTTACCCTGGTCGCCCTAGTGGCGGCACAGGGCTGAGGCTCCTTGACCAGGGTCTGTCACTTGCAACAGGTGCATCCCAAGGCTTAGAGATCCTGGTGACACACTTGCTCTGGCTGGCTTTGGGAAGGGCCTGGGGGTTGCCGAGCCTTCCTATAACATCTGAAAGCATTGGCTTGGCCCCGCCCGGGACTGTCTGTCAAGAGTGGCCCGGAGAGGTCCCTGGGCGTTTAGTGTGCACAGCCTCAGCTCTGCAGCCTCGGGTTGGGTGGCTCCGAGTCCCCAGGGACCAAGGGCTCCGGGGGGCTGTTCAGCTCTGCCAACGCCTCCCTGGTTCCCAGGAATGCCAAGGACTGTTCCTTACCAGATACCCAGTACGTGCTTCCTGGTGCCTGATGCCCCGCCGCTCGGCAGCTCCAGCAACTGAGTTCGTCTCCAGCATCTGTCGGCTCAGCCCCAGGCTGCTGAGATTTTGCCTGAGCAGCGAATCCACACCCCCGCCCTCACCCCCTGCCAGAGTCCTGCAGCAAAGGAAGCCACAGCTGACCCTCAGGAAGGCAGCTGAGAGAGGCAGGTCAATCAGCCGCTGTAGTCCAGGGGCTCTTTTCTCACCAACCTGCAAACTTGACCGCCAGAAACTTTGGCTGAGATCAAAAGGCAAAGGCCTTCCCAAAACAAAACGAAGAAAACGGGGAAACCTAAATATGTCTAGTGTTGCCCTTCTCCAGAAACCGGGAACAGCCTGCAAATGAACTGAAAGCGTAAATGGACTTCCCAGGGAGTGTTTTTCTTTAGCCGAGTGAAGCAGTAATTTCACTACAGTAGCTGGGGATGGGGTGGGGGTGTTACCCGAACTACAAAATCCATTCATTAAAAAGTTTAACAAATTAAAATCATCAACATAACCCACAGTCGAGAAGAAGTGATCTCTTCTAGCCGCAATGTATCCAAGGAGATGGAATATGAAAAGCTGAGCCTTTGCATCTCTCTGCCGAGATGCTTGCATCGAATCCCAGCAATGCCAGCGAAGCTCCTAGGGTCGGCGAGGATGCTTCTGGACACACTGGCTGGAGCCGGTGGGCTTCCTGAGTTTCTGTGCATTTTACACAAATTCCTGAAAACGTGCTGATTCGCTTAGTCTTTCGGTTCATTCAAGTTTAAAATCCGATTTTTATCCTAGGGAAACAGCAGACGCTGGAAGAGCAATATTTTGTGATGCATTTGTAACTAACTGCCCTTTGAGATGTTGAGTGTGGGATTGGAGGGTGAACTCTCAGAACAGAGCAAGAGCGTAGAGCGCTAATGATGTGAGCATATAAATGTGTTAACACACAGCTACATGTAGGAGTTTGATTTTAATGATTCGAAAGCAGCAAGGCTGGC